TGAACTGTAACAATAAAAGGACTGAAAGAGTCTGTGCTGGTTAAGTTCAATTGGGTTTTATGACTAGAATTAGAATAACATTAAATAAATTGTTTAAACATAATGATATAATAATATGATAAGATTGTGCAATACAAATATACAATATGTATATTAACTAAATATAAGTGTAATGTACAGTATATGTATACATTAAGTATATACATATTTGTTTTATCTTTTAACAAAATGTATGTTTCTTTCCTTGAATTCATTTGAATAATTGCTTTGGTTTACATATTGTTCTCCATAAAATGATATCATCTTTTCGTATTTGTGAATGCAGAATAATGTGTTTCTACAACGATGTGCCTACCATGATCTTTGACTAAATACATAAGTGATACACAAGTGAATCTACCTTTATAAACAGTTCCTTAGTCTGTCTGAAGTGATCCCGGGCTTTCTCATAGGCTGTTTGATCTGTGCAGCCTTGCTGGAAGAAAATCCCTCCCAGATCATAATTCACCTGAAACACCAAAGTACAAATTAAGATCCATTTCATATTCAACACACTAGAAATGCAATGATTGAAACTTCCTTTCTCGGACCTTTGTTTCAGATTGATTGGGAAATTATGTTTTACAAGTTCTCCCTGCTTCGATAAGGTTCATCTGATTGTATTTTGGATGTTATGCAGACCGCTGACCTGACAGTGCAGCTCGTCAGCACTGATCCTGAGCCCTGCGGTGGAGGACTCCGTCTCCCCGTTGGCAGCAGCGTCAGCAGCCAGCAGGTCCAGAGTCCTCTGAGTGTGAACATAGAAATCTTTCTTCAGCTGCAGAGCTCCTTCCAGGACACTGATGGAGTCCGTCGCCTGCTCTTTCAGCTGAGGGCAGCAAGGTATTTGAGAGGAAAATCATTATTTCATAGCCAGTGAAAAAGGACAAAACCGGATTCCTTTAACAGGGGATATAATGAAATGCATGGCAAAACTATGAGACAAAAGAAAAATTGGATAACATGATTCATTTCTTATATAAATATTATGTTATGCATAAATAATATGCATAGCCCAAGCAGCCTTTCACAAGACCCCATTATTTAGAAAAAGAGAGCATACTGTAAACCAGTGTGGAAGTTTAAAAGCAAGTTAATTCCTCTCTCAAAAGTCCTTTGAAATTAGCAAAAAGTTGATATACTATACTTTCTTGTTCTAAAAAAAGTTTAATTAACATGAATAGGATCAATGTAGGCTAGGTGTTTTCTAAATCCATTCTACTCCTCATCCGATGTCACATTCAAAACACAAGGATATTATTTATACAGTACATTATAATAAGAAGGTTTAATATGCTGTCATTTTGAGGTATACCTGGATCATTCTTAGATGATTTTGAAATGGGTTTAATAGTGGATAAATACCATGATAACATGTTCATAGATATCATCAATGTCGTTCGGAGAGAAATTAGAGAATTTCATAAAAAACACATGAACTCACCACAGTGAGGATGTTTTCAGTCATCTCCTTCTCCTGCTGCACTATACTTAACCTGCGAGAGACCATAGCACAACAAATCATCATGTAGAGCACTTTTATAAAGTTATATTTGTATTTCCTAAATGTGCAACTGCATACAATAAGCATGAGGAAATGTATTTGCTCTGTTAACAACTTTAGCTTGGTACAACAAGAAGAGAAGGATTAGAATGTACATGTTCATCTGGTGAGGTCCTGGTTTGGTCTGTTTCTCAGGGAAGCTGCTCAGCACAATGGTTCTGATGGCCCTATGAAAGAAACAAAGAGAAATACTTAAGATTAAAAACACTCTGAATATTCTTTATTATTTGTATTCATGCAGTTTTTCTTCTTTGTGACAAATGTGAATACAATTGATGAAAAATAACAGAGAATAAACAATCTGAAGTGCAAAACGTTTCTTCGTACATCAGCTTTGGATCTTACTCACCAGCGGTTGTATATGATGACAGCCATGGCCGTAGTGGGAGGCAGAGTGGAGAGGTCCAGGTCCACATGTTTCACCCCTGGAGGCACTTTGCTCACACACAGGAGCTCGTTGAGTAACATATTTAATACTGGAATGGTCAAACTGGAGGGGAAGAAAGGATAAATAAGGATATGATCCAAACATCTGTATGATTTTATAGACTTTCATACATTCCAAATTGACTTAAAAGCAATGTGGACGAGCAAAGAAAAGCATGAAAAATCACACTGTCTTCCTCAGCTTAAACAGTATATGAAAGAGCCTTTCACACACACCTACACACACTCTTACCCTTTCTCCAGAGCATCCAGATCCCACTTCATGTGTGCAGCAACCTTCAGGGCCAGCAGCTTCAGGGTGCGGTTCCGGCGGTTGTCTGCTGGAGGCTGCACCTGGTTCTGCTCGTTCACAGAGGGTTTGGACGCCTGCTCCAGGAACTGGATGATCAGCTGCACTGGTGTTGGGTCTGTGGAAAACACATACACACATATATGGACATTGAAAAGCATGCAGTCCATTTATTTAAGGTGTCCACTCAAAATGTAAGTTATACATCCTTTTAAGTTATTTTGCAATTAAAGGTAGGGTAGGTACGTTTGAGAAACCGGCTCGAGATACACTTTTTGTTATATTCCATGGAATGCTCTTAACATCCCGATAACAATGAATATCTTAAGTGCTTTGACAAAAAATCCATAAAAGAAATTCATCTGTGGAAGCCGTGCTGTAAAAAGCACGACCAATCATTTTAGCCGGCCTGGCTAAAATAACTGGATGGCCTACCTGCCTGTCAGCCTTCCATCTGTGCACAAACTTATCTCGTGCCCTCATTGGTCATGTGCACGTTCGTGTGTGTTGGAGGAGGGGCTCTGTAAGGAAGTGGCAGATTTTCTCCGGTTGTGTATTTTCAAATTCTAGCGATATCGAGCCGGTTTCTCAAACTTACCTACCCTACCTTTAAGTGTTATACATGTAGAAAAAAAAGATGGATTATATTAAAATGGGTGATTATTATACAATATTCAAAAATAAGCATGTCTTGAGTTGAACAACTTTGAACATGATACAAAAATAGAGAGAAAACATTTATATATTATAACTAATAATGTGCTTTACTCAATAATGAGTAATGACGAAGAGATTTTTGTTTCATAACCAAGGCATAACATTCATTTATATATATTTTTTTTAATCAAAACTACTTTGTCATAAGGGGAAGTTGTGTCGCAGTTGATACAGGGCAGATTATTTAACGATAGAACCAGTGTTTGTGTTTTATAATTTGGTTTATTAGATGAAGAGACCAATACCAATCTGGTAAAGGCATTGTACATAAACTGTTCGTCCCTCATCACACTGATCTGACCTGGGTATGACTTCTGCAGGTGGTTCTCCAGCAGGCTGCCGTCCAGAAGGAACTCAAACCAGGACGTCTGGAGGGGGGTGCTGGGCCGGCCGGTGGTCACAGCAGCCACCCGGTCCACCGTCTCCACACTCATCCTCCCCTGGGGAACAGGACACATTCTGGATTTAGTTTCATTGATTAACACACCCCAATAAAGGCTTGCTTTATTTGTACTCTATATTGGAGCTCTATGTCAACAAAGTGAAATTGTGCTGGAACAAAATGATTGCATATCAATTTACCACACAAGATCAGTTTACCAAATAGTCATCAGGAGGAATACTACTGAGCCTCTGAAAACAGTCTAAGTGAATTGCTATTTTATAGTGTATTTCTAATTGTGATAGTTATGTCCCAAAATACCAAGGCAAATTCACTTCAGCTACCTCATCATAGAGATGGACAGCAAAGATGGAGTGCTGTTATTACTTCTTTTGACAACATAATTTCTGTTGGTCACATTTAATAATCCCACACATTTAGTGTATTTTCTGTATCACACATTTCATTATTAAGAGTAGTAATAGAAACACATTCACGAACAACACCCAATCACGTTTATTTTAGGCTATGTTAGCCAGCTATGTAACTATTTATTTAAAGATCGTAACATTAGCAAAGTTATATTCAATATTCAGTTTATTTTCTGCGGTGACCAAGGTAGGTTTATTTAGATCATCGTGTTGTCCCGAGTGGGCGGAGTTTAAATATGTCCACAACGAGAGAGCGAACATGACTGAACTACGGTGGATTTTGGCTTCAAGTGTATATGAATCAAGCGCACCTCTTCCATCCTCTGCTGTGTGTGGAGCTGCCGTTGTTTTGGGCTAATATTCTAGCTAACTAGCTAAACTTTTCAGCCCGGTCCGGACACACTGGGACGGGTTAGCTTACCTTTATAGGTCAAATGGAACAAATAGAAAAAAATGAGCCTAATATACAGAATAACCTCCAAAATAAAAGCTGGAACAGCTACATGGACTGTTTAATTCTCACATAATGTTTTCTGCGCTTCGACATCTCGCCGCCTCTTCCGGTTCCGCTTCTTCGCCAGGGAGACACAGGTGCGCAGTGTTTGCGCATATTTATACTGCGAGCGTGGACCGGCGTGGACTTAATGTGTTATTATAACTGTGCGTGTCAAAGGCTACTCACTTTATTGCACTTATAAGTACAATTTAGATGTACTTGTAGTTTAGTCTAGTATTCTTCATTTATAATACTTTTATCGTTACTTCACTATATTTAATTATTTAATTATCCCTTCCACAGCTATTACTGAATCACTTTTGGGGAATTATAATATTTTGTCTGAGGCCCTATCGAACACTCATTTAAGATGTGTTTTTTTTTTAAAGAAAATTGAGTGATATAATACTATAATATGAATTCATTAGTTATATACAATTAAGTAGTAAATTAATAAACTACATGGACAATCAAATGTGATACATATAAATACACATTACAGAGGTGAACATTTATTCTATAAAAAAAAAAGTAATTTTTTAATTCCCTATTCCTTCCAATTTGCATGAAAAAGGGACCATCATATTAACTTATACAAATCATTATAGAAACTATCCAAACAAAGGGCAACAGACTGTAGAGATCAGCTTTGTATTTATCAACTCATACACACTTTATTTTCCATAATCCAAAAAAAACCTAATATTTACTGCTTGGCCTTTTGCAGAGGGACAGTCATTGGTAAGAATTGCATTATTACACCAGAGGAAATGACCACCAAATACTTTAGGTAAGAACCAGAGGAGGTGAAATGGTCAGGCTGAGGCTTAACTTAAAGTGTGATGGGTAAACAGTCAGTCAGGTCATACATCTCAAAATAAGGCATCCAGATGAAGAGCATGATGACACAAAGCGTTGGAAATGAGTATTTTCAGAACCAGCATCCACTTCACTTTAAGGCTAGAAGAAAGTTCACACATGTTGTGCCTTTGTCCATGCATGTTCAATCAATCAAAATATGATTTCACATAAAACGAGGGGGATTTCAAAGAAAGCCTGTTTAAAATGGGAAGCAGAGCACATAAGACACATTAAAAACAAACTGTCTCTCCACAATTGTTCATCTTTCTTTTCTTTGAAGCAGCTTTACACTTCAAATATGATATCACAACTTTTTCATCTTCCTAAGGTTTGCTAAGGAGCTTCAAATATATATTCACGGGCTAATGTTCTTTAACATTGCTCACTTTTACTTTATCACTTCCCTTTTGCAAAATCTCATCAACCACACCTGCTCTCAGCTTCTGTACAACGTGAGCACACTCCTCACATATTAAACTCTCCCTTCATTAAATACATTGCAGTAACAGTAACACATGGCTTGATTGATGGCATATTTTATCCTAAAATGGGACATTTAATATTGATTTTAACAATGCGTAGGACAAAACCAGGACAATATGTATGTCTGAATTTGCATCATCACCATCGCCAGGATGTGGAAAGTACCAGTGATAAGACATTTTCCCAGAGTCCTTTGTGTTTTGGACAAGGAACACTGGAGAAGGGCAGAGTCAGGCTCAGTGGAGTCTCAGCAGGAAGGTGGAGCTGCTGTCAGTACTGAAAGGAGATGACAGAGTTCACTTTGTACACGTGGTACGAGCGGTTCCAGAAGACCCGGGTGAAGTAGTTGGTGTAAGGCGAGTAGTTCATCTTTATCTCTTGGCAGAATCTTCCGTGCTTGGAGAACGAGTAAACCTCTCCTTTGTCATAAACGACCTGAATCACACAAGATAATATGGGATGTTAATGACTTCCTTAAAAACATGACATATAGTACTCTCAGAATACACAAGCAGTATTTATAATAATTCCTGCATTGTTATTAACTATATGTATCCATATTGAACATGCATTTAAAGAGATTGACATGTCGGGTGACATACCCATTTACTTTCTAGCCAAGAGTTAGAAGATTGATAACACTCCTATGCCTCAAATGTAAATATGAAGCTTCAGTTAGCTTAGCTTAGCTTTTTGTATTTTATTATATATGTTGCATTGTTGGAGGAGCTCAGGTCAGAAGAATTTCATTGCCATTTCTACACTGTAGCTTTGTGCATATGACAATAAAACCTTTCAATTGAAATTGAATTGAATTAACTCAGCGTTTGAAAAGAAAATTGCTTAGCTGTAATGAAGAAATAACTGCTTCCAGCCAAGAATAATTCCAGTTTATAAACCCCGTAGCAACTACACAATATTACGTTTATATGTTTTTTTTGTGCATAAAATATATATATTTTAGTTAGCTTTAGATGTGCTAATTTTGTTCTTGTTTGACAGGGTCAGGCTAGTCGTTCATCCCGGATTCCAAATGTTATGCTAAGCTAACTGTCTACCATTGGTAGCTATATATATATTTAACAATCGGTCATGAGAGTGGAATCAATTCTATCATCGTTGTCCAGGGACTACAGATGAAAATTAGCCTCTTGGCTAACTATGGCACATTTACAGAAATGTTGATTCATGTCCCTCTTAAAATAAATCTATTATCTAACTCCCAGCTAATTTCCAAGCTATTCCCTTAAACGGTGTCTGTCTATTCAATATCTAGATATACAGTGCAATTTACCATTGTAGTATTTAAATGTGTCTTAGTAATGGACAAGAGCAACACAAAGAAAACAAAATAGCACTTTGTTTCTGTGAATGAAAACCTCACAATTCAGATTTTGGTGTTTTGCTCTTTTCAACTCATGGCAACAGCATTACTAGATAAACAGAGGGGAATCTGCAGCTGGTGGTAAAATAATAAGTTCATACTGTAACTCACGTGTCCATTGGAAATATCAAGCAGATCTTTGATTCTACAGCCTTTATTAACACTCAGCTCGTTACAAATGGATTCTTCGATGATCACATAGTTAGCCTTCTGAGAAGTCAGAATCTTATAAATGTCCTCTGCAGATCTCATTGCATACACCTGGTAAGTCTGCAAGAAAAACAATGGTTGTTACTTAACTCATCTGAACAGTGGCGTAACAAGGTTGTGATTGGCCCCGGTGCAAATATTGTTTAGGGCCCCCCCCCCCCCCAAACATAAGCGCACGCTGATGCGCTCACACACGCACGGACATACACAACCACTCAGAAGCGCCACATGTATAGGCTATCAACAACAGCCTGCCCTGGCCTCAGACCACCACAGCCTGACAACGGCACAACGAACTAAGAAGAGGATTACACCTGTTTCCTTGATGTTTGTCTCTGGGGAATGGGCCGGTAGGCCTACATGGACCAGTCGCTATAATATAGCTTTTGATCTTGGCGTCGGGGGTCTCAATAGCGCCATAGAGTCCCAGTGTTTCCCATACATTGATTTATTTGTGGTGGGCCGCCACAATTAAATATCGTCCGCCACAAATGGATCTCATAAAAAAAAATGTTGGTGGTCTAATGGATAGTGAGGTGGGCTGATGATCGGAAGGTTGCGAGTACAAATCCCGCCTGGAACACCACTACTCGTGTGCCCTTGAGTAATGCACTTAGCCCTCAGTTACTCCAGGGAGAATGTCCCTGTAATTGGCCATTGTAAGTCGCTTTGGAATAAGGCGTCTGCTAAATGCGATGTGCGGTGCCCCCACAAATAGAATCAAATTCTGTGGGAAACACTGGAGTCCCCTATCGGTTGGGGCCCTTGGGGGAACTGTTGGACCACCGCCGGGCACAGCCAAATCCAGCCTCTCCTCCTGGCTGGCTGGAGAAGAAGGTTGCACAGCCACGGCCACGGATACAGCTTCACTTGTGGAGCTAGATGGCAATGATGGTGGTGAGACAGGTGAGCTATCGTTAGCCTCCGGCTCCGGCTGCCGCTGCACGTCAACATTGCTAACGTTAGCGCTCGATTTCAAGGACGATGCATGACCAAAAAAACGGTCTAATTTTGTCAGTTTAGCGGTTACATCTCCTTGTTCGCTGCTCTTGTGCTTTGGTTTGCTGTACATTATAAATGCAAGCTATTACATTTTTTATAATGCTGCCGAACTTGCTGCTGCTAGCTACAGTACAGTTCAGGTTGATTAAACGGTTCACTCGTCACGCAAGGTATCACATGACATCAGAGGGAGCAAGGTCATTGGATAGACAAATTAATTTAGGTTGCTTGGTTACTTTGAAGACTGCGTGAACCGGTCAATGCCATTGGGGCAAATATATATATATTTTTTTTTTTTTTGTGCATGGGCCCCTGGCCGGCTCTGGGCCCCGGTGCAACGTCGATAGTTACGCCACTGCATCTGAATCTATGTTCTTTTTTCGTTTATTTTCGCTCGGAATAAATATTTCATCTCACTCACGTCTTCAGTCCTCCTCAGCAGCTTGATGTCTGTATAAAGCGGTAAACTGGTCACGGTTGCACCTGAACACAACTTCACGGTTCCCAACAGCTGAGGGCTGCCGGCAAAGGCCGCCGCTGCTGGATCCTGTGACCTGCAGGACAACAAGAGGAAGTTAACCTCCACAATAAAGACTTTAGAGATATCTTTTAAAATACAGAAAGATATGAGGACTCACTTGATCCAGCTGATCAGCTCCACTTTATCTGGATCGTAAAACTCCTGCACTTCTGACAGCTCTGCTAAGACACGAGGGCAGTACTGCAGACAGGAGAAAGAGCAGTGTAAGGCCATGTATGCGTCTTTAAATATTTGACATAAATAATAATAATACATGGAATTTTTATAGCGCTTTTCCTAATGCTCAAAGACGCTTAATAAAGAGCTTAAAAAAGCTGAAAATCTCACCTCTCTCCACAAACTGAAACCAATGATGGCAGGAACCGCTGTGCTCAGGATGAGAGACTGGAGGGCATAAGCAACCATTAACAACTTGTAATAATACTTTAAAGGAAGCAACACAATGTGGCAAGTTATTGATCCAATTTAAAACGCCCTTTTGAGGGAATTTAGCAGGAGAAAATCCAAAATAATGCACTTTTTATTACTAAGAAAGGTTGCTGTTAAAAGTGAATATCAGAGGCCGCTCACCAGAACTACAGGGTGGATGGACTTGAGTTTGAGCCACCTAAACACAGTCATCCAGAGTTCCGGAGAACACACACCGAACGCTGTGAACATGCAGACGTACGGGGTCCATAAATATTTCATCCTGAGTGAAAGAAAAACAGTCAATGTGCTGTTGTGTCCTTACAATTTAACAATGATATATTTTAAGAAACATGTTAGGATTCCAAATGATTAACATACCCATCAAACAGCAGAGCCAGGCCTCCAAAAATCAACGTGTGAAAAACATGATAGATGACCTCGGGCTGCTCTCCTATTCGCCCATCTTCAAGTTTGAGGTTGGTTTTCATCGGCTGCCCACTGTATTAAAGAAAAACTATTCTTAATGTTATACAGAAACATTGACATTTGTAGAATTAGTGTCCGATAATATGCACCTACTGCTAGTGTACAGCTCATTAATAGATCATTAAAATTACACGTTGCAGTTTACATTTCTGAAATTCTGTGAATTAAATAATAAAAAAAACACAAAAAACATTGAAACGAACAAATGAAACAAACTAAAGTACACAGAAAAAAATATATAGCATAGTCTTAAGTACACAAATAATAAGCAATAATGGGCAGTGGGTGTCATGATTACGGATAGGTTCTAACCCGAGCTACATTATTGTAGAAATCATTTTTATAATCCTGAATACGCTATGAGCTGGCGGGTCAGGAATGTGTAGCTGGTATTCATTTTGATCAGTAGCTCTGTAAAATGTAATTTTTTTTTTTTTAAATATACCCACGATGAGCCCCATGCACTGTGTTTCTGTACAAATCTCTAACCTGAGTCTCCTGTAAATGGTCTGCAGGGTGGACAGCAGGCACACAGTGAGCACCAGTAAGTAGAAGGGAAGGACTGAGGCCTGCGTCAGGCGCAGAAATAAGTCCTGACCCGGGACCTGGAAACTCTCTTGGCACAGGAGGAAATTGGTGATGAAGTCACTGACAAAGAAGGAAAAGAAAATATTGCAATTAGATTACATTGGATACGATTATACTGACAGAAAACAAACCTAAATATGGATAGACAGAGCTTTGTGTAAGCCTATATTGTAACATTTCATTTAAGAGCTGTGACTCACGTTGTTGTGTTGAGCCCAAATTTGACTTCAAGGAATTTCAAGAAGAAGTCACTCTCATCTCCTTGAACGAATTTCTGTATAAGATAAACAATGGTGATAAACCAACAGTTTTATACAATCACAGATAATCAAGTATGTATAAAAAAGAATGCTATTTGAGTTGAAATGGATCAATTACATGATATTGTGGTTGATTTTACCTTGACCAGATAACTGAAGGTGATCCCTGTGGTAAAGACTAGGTGGAAATATACGAAGAGCTTCATCACTCTGGACAGAAAAGGGCCCGTCTTCATCTTTTGCTGCAAAAAGCAGAACAAAGCATTGAGATGGTGTTACTCACCTGCTTCAACTGCAGCTTGGCGAATAAAAAAGAAAATCTTTCTCAGTTTTCTTTTGTTCTGATGTGAAGGAGCAGCTAACTCTACCTGGTAGTTCCTGGCAACCCATGTGCCAATCAGGAGGCTGACCAGCGGTGAGCTGAGGAGGGATGCGTTCTGAAACTGTGAAAAGAAGGCCAGGAGCAAAGCGCTGACGTACACCATGTGGATCTCTGCCATCTATACATCCCATATGGAGAGAAAAAGAGAGAGACAATGAGAAGAGAAACAAAGGAAAAGGCAAAGTGTCAATAAGGATAATTATGGCCACAACAAAGTTATATTTGAGAAGATACACTTGTTCTTGTAAAATATTAAAGAGGAAAGATAATGCTCATTCATATTTTTATTTTTTTTAAATATGAACTTTTGTGTTCAAGTTCAGATTTGTATTTAGTGCCTCTACTGTGACATGTCTCCAGGCTTTAATGTTCAAGAAGCTCTTTATTTGTCTCATACTGCCTGTGCTGCAGCACCTCTTTTCACCCTCTGTCTGAAACCAGAGACCAGATTGGTTAGCTGGCCTGCTCTGTTGTGATTGGTCAACCTCTTAAGAGATGTCCCGCCCCTTACATACAATGTGTTGGAGCGCAAGCCAATAGGAGCGCAAGTGTTCCATAATGATGTCATTATGTTCAAGAAGTAAACAAAGGAGTCCAATGGAGGCATTTCAGGCAAAGGGGGTTAGCTTAGCATGACAACAGTAGGATACATTTCCTGGGTGATTGAAAGTAACACAATCAGCATATTAGCACCTATACAGGTCAATTATAGATATGTAATAATGTATTTGTTCATTCTGAAAAAAGATAAATTGTGTTTTTTAGGTGCTGGACTTTTTCTTGATTTCTTGATCTTGACTTCCCTTACCTTACGTGATGGCAAAAGGTCAAAAGCGTCGAGGAAGAAAAGACAGAGGCCTTGGAGGAATAGCACGTAGTGGCTGTGTTCCCACACCAGCAGGAAAGTGAAGGTGGTGGCACTCATGGTAAGATAGCAAAACAGCTGCAGAGAAATACAGTGCATCACTGTGTGTGAATGCAGAATTACACCTTACTTTGATATGGTACAGTATGTTTTTGTGTTCACGAGAGGCTCACCTCAGTGGCAGAGCTGATGTTATTAGTCAGGAATCCAGTCAAAGCTGCAACCTGGCAAGAGAAGTAAGGCAGAGCCCAGTTGTCCCGCAGAGGAATGGCATAGTCCACTTTGGTTGTGTCATGTCTGAGGAAGAATTAACCTGTTATGTCCTGTTGTTATGTCACAACATGCGCTGCGATTCCCCACTCCCAATAAAGGGTCAGCAACACCATGAAAAGCAGTTAAATTACTTAGGAAAAATTAGCAATGCCCAAAACAACAAACACAAACGATAGCTAAACAAATAGAACCTTAAACTTCCCTAACCAAACAACAAGTGCCACATTGACAGAAGCAGAATATAGATGAGGCATGCAGAGAAAGCAGGCCGCATGATTCCTCTTACCTGTTGATCACATACCAGGCCACGGCCAACATGCCGGCCGACCAGGTGCCGCTCATCACCCAGCTACACACAAACAGGGCAGACACGTGGATCGCCTGCAGCCCAAACACGGCTCCGATGTAGAAGTAAATTGGCTCCACAAACTCCTGAAGGCAGAAACAGAAACATTGTATTGAATACGGGATTCTGGTCAATTTGGACACTGGTTCAAAACCTCCAGCTATGCGTCGGGATCCTGCTCACCCTGTCGGGGTGATAGGGTGTGCTTATTGATGTGACCTAATTAAGTTTAACCATACGACAAAATAAGTCCATGTTGCTGTTCGGTGCTATCGTTATTCATTGCCATATAATGCAAAGCAAAAGTTGACTTCCCTCCACTTTTCCTTACTAAGTGCACTGAATAATTTGTTGCAATATTATGTGAAAAGTCCGCTGCAATGGCAGCAGATGAGACTTTTTAAACTACATGGAGAATCATTGTTGTACTCGGCATTGGTCGGTATAGTTTGGGGCTTTTATTGTGACTTTCAATTAAATAAAATAATGTTTCTTCTTGTGCCATGCAGCTCTACTTGTGTTGACATGGACCAGACTGAGAAGATCAAATACAACCCAGCATGGCACCTCAGGGCCATTTCCAATGGTAAACCAATTAATCTCACAGGTAAAATACTAATTTAACTGTCTCTAGTAATACTTGTTAAACTGAGGCAAACCAGCTAAAATAAAACTGCTCTTAACCAATCGCTACATAAAGAATCAAGGCATGATGATAGTTTTCAATGTGTTTGCCAGTAAATACAGTATTTAGTACCTTTCTTCCTTCTCTCCTTCTGATAAACAAATATGACACCAATGTCTAGTCCATAGCATATCAGAAACAACAAAACCCCCCTCACCTCGCTGCCTGTGAATCTGTATATAAAGCTGGTGATGAGCTCTGGGTACAGAGAAAAGCGCACCACTGCGTTGATGGTCTGCCCTGCAACTGTCCTGTTATCCATCATCAGCTCATGAAACCCTGCAAAATCAGAACATTACACATGCTTTAGTCACAGCAGGGAAATGTACATTGTTACGTCACAGGTACAATGCAGACAAAAGGCAAAATAGAATAAGAAAACTAACATTATAACGTGAAGTAGCAGCTAGTAATAACAAGAGCAAAATGCAAAAGTGTTCATCGCACTGTTGAGGCCGTGGGTTATTGCACAAGATGGTTTTTAGTCTATATTGGTGAGTATACACAAGCGATCCTTTCTTCCTGTATACACCACATTGATTGACAAGGGCATAGTGACATTCATAGGTAGTAAGTAAGTCGTTTTGTTGTCGTATTTAATATCTCTCTAGAATAAGAATACATTTACCTCTATCGAAAGGTGTTGCAGTCAGCATCTGCTTGTAGTAGTAATAGTAGAGCCCGCTGCCTCCCTGGAAGGTGATTTCCCGCTCTAGCTCCTGAGACACAAGTAAGTGAATTTCAGAATTGATGCAGTGAACTTGAAATGAATGCAGGCAGACTCCTGAAAAACAAAGTCACCCACCTGTCTAGTGGAAAACCAGAACTTCCTGTCATGATAAGCAGATAGATACGCTGCATAAAGCATGCCACAGGCAACTGCTGCCAGACATCCGAAGAACACCCTCACCAGGCGCTGCAAAAAACCTGCAGAGCACATATACCAGTGAACACACCATATATCACATCATACTTATTAGTATAATGACACGTTTTTGCCTGTATTTCCACAGAAACTATTTTTTTCAGGAGTTCGGGATTCTCTATAAATTGTTTTAAACTGCTGATAAAGTGCTTGAGGCTATGTCTTAAACAAGATTACAATGTTAACAAAATAACTTGTAACTCCTGATATGGTCCAAGTGCATCCCAAATTGTCTCAGCACAGCGAGTCAACTTTTTTTATTTTTTGTACTATTTCCAGTTATTTTACAACTCTTTTTAGCTGAATTCTAGTTCAGTATTTTTCTTAAGCTTTAAATTAGATACAAAAATGTTTGTATCGTGATTAACAATAAGACAAAATTAATTGGCACACACTTTACTTGAAAAGGTACTATAAACCTGTTGCCAACAGATTGCCAAGGTAGTGAGAGCAATACAAAAAGATCAATTAGTTTAGATTAACATTCAAAAAAAGTAATTGTTTTAGTTAATCAAAACCTCCAACACAGAGTTATGCTAAATTCAGTTTTTGTTTGTCTGCAGGATAACAGAAACATTAGTTGACCTATGTTCATGAAAGTTGGTGAAAGGTAGTAGCATGGGCCGATGAAGAAAACTTTACATTTTGAAGCATATCTGAATCAAGGGTTGCATTAATGCATTATTTTTCACTTTGCCCTTCAAGTTTTTAGTGTGTTCCAATGAAGGCGAGTGAAATTGTATGAATTGCTGGTATGATTGTTTTATCTGTTGTCCATCAGCATTTCCTGTGCAACTCAGGATACAGACATGTGGTTTTAGAGGAAGTATAGGCCTACAAATGTTTTTTTACACAAGAATATATGATTAAAGTCAGGTCTTCCTAAATGTCACAAAACATTAAGAGGTTTATGCTCATTTTGATTATATGGCTTATTGAGTACAATAAAACGTTGTATAGAAGTGACACAGCCATACAAAAAGATGATCAGAGAAGCATTGGTAGAGTGGAAAAAAAACAGTGGACTGACACTAATATTAATCAGTTTGCAGGGCATTAATTTACCTGCAGAAGATCTCGTGGACCTTTTAACAGGTGACTCTGGTGTTTTTGATTCTTCTTCTTTATGTTGAGCGTCCTCTTCTTTAACCTCATCCTCCTCTTTCTGCTGCTTTCCGGCTCCATTTCTGCCATTGGACACCTCATCCTCCTCTGTTTTCACCGGCTCTTTAATACAAGGTCAGGTTACAACAGTTAGGTACTTTAACGACAAGCCGTGTACAAATGTAAATGTAAGTTACCCGGATTTTGCACAGGAAGCTAACCGTTTTAGCTAGCAAAGCGCTAAATTAGCCAAACTTACTTGTCGTCTGCACCTCCGGTTCATGTTGGCTCTCTTCCTCTTCTTTATCTCCATCCAAAGTGTATTTTTTTCGACATTTTAACTCAGTCATGACGAGATACAATTAATCCGAGAGTTGTCTGGTGTGTTGAGACACCAGCATGCTAGCTAACAAGAGGTTAGCTAACCCAAGAGCCCTCAAATCAGTACTTCGCTTTGTGGTAAACTACACGGGTGACAAGCCGAAATACAAACTACCCTTTTCTGGGTCAAGTTGTCTTGTATTAAGTTGTAAATCAGCAGTTTTTGTATTGGTGATATGGACTGTTATGAGGACTGGACTGTGGGCTCTTACAGCGGAAGTCGCAGATGGCTTCTTCTTCATCATTCCGTCAGAGTAGGCTCAGATGCAGTAAGTGCATCTGTAGCATTTAGCTGCCTCCCACCGGTGCTTTGCCCCTTGTGGTCTTATGTGTACTATTGCATAGCTCTCTTTTGATATATTCTATAGACATACATATCCATTTAAACCATAGATAATACAGCTTGTATGGTTGTAACTTGTACTTGTATGGTTTCCTATTGCCAGTAGTGTAAAAGTGCAGTTACTCAAGTACTGTTCAATTATGAGGAAGTTTGTCCTTTACAAACATGAGTATCTCTAGTTTCTGCTACTGTTATTATAGCCTACTACAATTCCAGCTAAGTATTGTACTTTTACTCCACCACATTTATTTAATACCTTAAGTTATTTTGTAGATATGGATTAATGATATAAAACATACTCAGCACTTAAATAGGACTTTTGTTACACCTGGATTAAAATTCACAAACTACCCAGCAGTAAATAAAATAATAATAAATAGTTCCACCTTACAAGCTATTATAAACCTATTAATGCATCAATATTTATAATGAAAACATATATATATATATATATATATATATATCATTCCGAAATTGGCCAATCTGCATAATAAGTACTTTTACTTTTGGTAGAAATTTAAAAAAAACTTTATTTTTTCTTCTATACGATACTGGATTAAACACACCAACTAATACAAAAACAATGTCCTACTATGTTTCAATTTTGGTTTGTTGAACAAGACAAATTGCTTTTGAACAGTATTTTCTTTCTTTCAATTGGCTCTGTTAACATATGGGTCGAACGTGAGTGGAATATTAAAACATTGAATGAACAATATAAATAATTTTCCAACAGTAAAATCCTCTTTTGAGAAATTGTTCAACTGCAGCCCAATGTCAAAATGTTGAATTGAGTCAAAATTAAATTTGTGACTCATTCACTCAAATTTAAACACATTCGTGATTTCAGTGTGCAAAAATCATTGATTGACTTGACAATCACAGTAAAATGTTCATATGAAAGCACAAATATCACTTACATCAATGTGTTAAAATATTCTTTAAAAACCAGAGAGAACACAGTTAGTATAACAATATTAAAAATAGTAAAAGAACATAAAAGACGACATCAAATATTTGTCAGGAACCTGCTAAACCTGGTCCCAGTTACAAAAAAAATTTTGAGTAAATTTACCAACACCTAATGTATGTACTGTTTACAAAACACACATTTAAACTTAACAATACCAGTGGGATTCTTTAAGGAGCTATCTCTCTGGAAGATGTCAACAATAAAACTATCAAAAAAACACCATAATTTCATCTGTTTATTCTTCTTCTGGTGAGTCGATGTTCGAGATCATTTCATCATCAGGAATCTTTTTTTCTGTTTTGGAGTGTAGGAATAACATTAGTCTTTTTTTTCAGGTTTTATAGTAACATATACAATGACTTGATTATGTAATAAGTACCTGGACTGGTTTTGTGCAGGCCTCCTATGTCTCCGGCCTCTTCCAGATCACACCTCTCCAGGATTATTCTCATGAGTTTGGTCACTTGTGGGTGTTTAGCTGCTTCGAATAAAGGCTCATCGTCGGAACTGTTGCTTGAAGACGCTGAAGAAAAAGAATTATACATAAATATGGCTAATAACTAAAAAACCCAGATTGATAAATTAAATAAATAAAATCTTCACAATACTACATTTTCTTTCATATTTATTTTCGTGTTTTATTTTTAGGAACACATCGTCTGGCCTCTAGAAATGGTCCTACACTCTTTTTGTTATGCTATGTATTTTAACTCTGTTTATATATCTTTACTAGCCAAGACTTTTTACCTGAAACATTCTTCTTTTTTGGCTTTTTGGGAGTTGTGTTCCTCTTTTTCTTTGCTGGTGAAGCTTTCGTTTGTTTGCCTGTACTTTGTCTTTTTACAAGATTAACTGGAGCGCGGTTTAAGCGTGCCGTGTCGTGCCGGGCCCGTTTTTGGTTGCATTTCCACTAGGCCTAGTTCCGGCCCGGGGGTACTTTTTCACCTCTTTTCTGGCCCGACAAAATCGTGGTTCTATCGAGGCCAACAAACAGGGCTGAGTCGGGCTGAGTATGCTAAACTAGAGAGAGAATCGCTGGCAAGGGGGCTACAACAACAACAAGATGGACATATTTGACCGTGATTTAATTGTAATACACGTTTCAAAATGATGCCGAAGTAACAACATACTGATACCGGTTAGTAAAAACCATGAATTAATGCTTTGGCAAGTCTGCAGACAGACGGCAGGCGAAAAACCTTTTAAAATTCGTGTTTTTCTAGATGGAGATTGGCTAAGCTAACGCAGTATATGCTCCGACCGTCCACACTCACAACAACGGCCTATACAGACATAAATAAAGCAGCGACTGTATTCACCATGACACAGGCAGTCTGTGGTTTGTACTTGTTTAACTTTTGTCTAGTTTCTGTACAGATATGAGGAGCTGTGAGCTCTGAGTGCTAACAGCTAACGGCTGTGTTGTTTTTCTGGGGTTCTCATTGAAGATGACGTCACGGCTCCGCCTACACTGCGTTACTATAGATACTACCCCAGTTCCTAAACTGTAATGGAAGCGCAGCATGAAGTGAGCCGGCCCTAACGAGGCCCAACGCGGCCTAGCCATACCGAGCGAGGCCGAGGCCGACCGTGTGGTGGAAATGCGCCATAAGGGTTCATAGTCCGAGCCTCCATCGGAGAGATCTGAGCTGCTGCTGGTCCCCTCTGAAATATAAAACACAAATGCATGACACACAATATTAGATGCTTTACAATTCTACATGTTCTTGAATATTCTTTATCCAGTGAGGACTATTGCTTTTAGGACCACATTATTTTCACTGTGTGTATGATTTTACAATCACCTGCGTTCTTTTTCTTCTTTGCAGGTGAAGCCTTTGTTTTGTTTTTTGTTTGTCTGTCTGGGGTTTTCTTTTTCCCAACATTAATCAAGGGTTCATCATCTGAGCTGTCGCTTTTCGTCTCTGAAAATAATTAAAGTAAAATAAATAGAAAGCATAATAGGAATGTCCTACTATAAAAATGTTCTTAGATATTCTTCTATCCAGTGAAGACTCTTGCTGAGCAACTAAATGGTCTCCACTGTTGGTGTCGTTATATGCAGATTCTGTCACCTGTGTTCTTCTTCTTCTTCTTCTTTGCAGGTGAAGCCTTTGTTTTGTTTTTTGTTTGTCTGTCTGAGGTTTTCTTTTTCCCAACATTAATCAAGGGTTCATCATCTGAGCTGTCGCTTTTCGTCTCTGAAAATAATTAAAGTAAAATAAATAGAAAGCATAATAGGAATGTCCTACTATAAAAATGTTCTTAGATATTCTTCTATCCAGTGAAGACTCTTGCTGAGCAACTAAATGGTCTCCACTGTTGGTGTCGTTATATGCAGATTCTGTCACCTGTGTTCTTCTTCTTCTTCTTCTTTGCAGGTGAAGCCTTTTTTTTTGTTTGTTTGCGTGCAGTTTTCTTTTTCTGGTAATAAACCAAGGGTTCATCATCTGAGCTGTCACTTATCGACTCTGAAAAAGAAGTAATAAAAACACATCAATCACAGACGTAAATATTTGTTTATCCAGTCAAGTTTTTGCTGAGGAACCACATTATCTCCACTGTGTTCATTTTCATTTTCTGTCACCTGCGTTCCTCTTCTTCTTCGCAGGTGAAGCCTTCGGTTCGACTTTTGTTTGTCTGTCTGTGCTCTTCTTTTTCCCAAGATTAATCAGGGGTTTATCGTCCGGACTATCGCTTGTCGACTCTAAAAAAAATATGAATCAAACATAAATGATTGACAGAAAATTGAAATCCATTGTTTTAATCTATTCTTTCTATAATGTAAAATACTGTAATACTACAGAATACACAATGCTTAAAGAATTTGTATTCCTGTATTTATTTTCCTGTCTTTTCAATTTGTTGTATATCCCTTTGTATTACCTTTGAATGAGATAACACAATTAGAAATCAAATACAAAAAGTTGTAATTATTTTAATATTAATAAAAGACAAGAAAAAATGTGTTTTCTTTTCTGTCACTTCAACTGGCTAACACTGGCTGGGCTGGGCTCTTTACCTGACACTGTCTTTTTTGACCTTGTGTTACTCTTCGGAGGTGAAGCCTTTTTGGTTTGTTTGTCCTTTTCCGAAAGATTACTCAAGGGTTCATCCTCTGAGCTTTCATCAGAGGATCCTGCCAAACAACAGCCACAGAAGTAAGGATATTAAAATGTCACCTACAAAACAGTATCATGTTTTGATCATGTCATGATTCCTGCTACAGTACCTCGTCTCTTTGTGGACCCTCTGCCTGGTGCTGCAGTTTTCTTCTTTGTGTTTTTCTTCACTGGTTCCTTCTTTTTGGCAACCAGATTCACCAAGGGCACATCCTCATCACCGGAGCTGCTGTCTTTAGGCGCCTTAAACTTCAACTTCCTCTTCATTGTTGGTTCAGCATCTGAGCTGTCACCGGAAGACTCTGCGTATTTAACTACAACAAACAAAACATATAAATATTTGGTGAAAGTATTACAAGTAAAGCATTTTTGATTACTTTTGACTTGCACATTTTCACTCATACCCTCTTTCCTTGCCGAGTTCCTTTTTGATCTGACGACTGGGGCCGCTTTTCTAGGAGTCCCAGGTGACTTTCTCTCACGTTGGGGGTAATGTTTCTTGCCAAATTTACTCCGAGGCTCATCATCTGAGTCATCATCAGAGTCATCATCGTCATCCATTGATTCTGGGTGAGAAAAGCAAGTAAGTACAAATAAGTTTCTTCAACAGAGAAAAGCCCTTATCTGTTGCATGTCAATGTAGAGAACATATGTTACCTTTCTTCTTAGTAACAACAGATTTCTTTGGAGAGACCGAGGAAGGCTTCTTTGCAGCTTTTGAGGGCTTTTTGGCCTTTCTTATGAGAGGCTCATCGTCGGAGTCATCATCTGTATTCTTATCTAAAACGTTTAGATATATAAAAAGATTTAAAGCCAAACTTTACCGACTGAAATGTTGTAAGTGACATGATTATGTAACAACCTGCTTTCTTGTTACTTTTGCCATTTGATTTGAGTGACTTGTTGTCTTTTTCCTCCACTTCCTCAGCTGGAGCAGAGACTTTTTTCTTTTTTATCAAAGGCTCGTCATCTGAAGGGTCATCAGAAGCTAAAACAGGGGAAGGAATACAATTATAGAATGCATCAGCTTAGCTTTGAACTGTTACAAACTGTTGAAAGTCAGTCTTATTTTTTTAACTCACCTTGTTCGTCCTTTTTTGAGTTAACGTCGTCTTCAGAGCAGGAGCTGTTATTCTCTGATCAGACATGATGAAGAAAACAGTAATAACATTTACATTTTGGTCTGGTAAAATGATTTACAAGTTCAACAATATATTTGGACCCAACAAAACTCCCTTTTTTCTAGTATACATATCCTGATTTAAGTACGTATTTTCCACTACTTATAGCCAACTCAGAAATGCGTGTATAGTTAACGAGACTGAAAACAAGGCATATCCCCAAAACAGTCATAACAAAATATTTCCTTAACTAGGTAACTTAAGTAAACATTGTCATAAAACAGTAGCCTATAAATAAGTTAGTGACCACTCCTGCAATCAAAAATATGTAGTGAAAGTACTTGAGTTTTGTTAGCAAAGCAAATATGTTGCTTATAGATGACTATTGATCAATGCACAAGTCAAGTTTAACCTGTTTGTATTATACTTAAAAATATGTTTGTAAAGGGGGGGAAAAGTATTGAGATATAGAGTAGTAAAGTTTCTAAATACTAGAAGTTTGAACTCCTACCCTTTTTCCTTGCTGCGTTCCTTTGTGATCTGACTGAGGCCGCTTTTCTAGGAGTCCTAGATGGTGACTTCTTCTCAAGTTGGGAATGTTTCTTGCCAGGTTTACTCAGAGGCTCATCATCCGAATCATCATCATCGTTATCCAGTGATTCTGTGTAAATAATGGTAGTTACAATTACGTGTCTGCTACAGAGAACAACACCTTTCTGTTGCATGTCAATGTAGATGGACACACTGAATGGCCACTTTATTAGGTTCATCTGTTCAACTGCTTGTTAATACAAATATCTAATCAGCCAATCACATGGCAGCAACTCAATGCATTTAAGCATATAGACATGGTCAAGACGACCTGGTGAAGTTCAAACAGAGCATCAGAAAGGGGAAGAAAGGTGATTTAAGTGACTTTGAACATGGCATGGGTGTTGTGCCAGACGGCTGGTCTGAGTATTTCAGAAACTGCTGATCTACTGGGATTATCACGCACAACCATCTCTAGGGTTTACAGAGAATGGTCCGAAAAGGGAAAATATCCAGTGAGCGGCAGTTCTCTGGGCAAAAATGCCTTGTTGATGCCAGAGGTCAGAGGAGAATGGCCAGACTGGTTAAAGGTGATAGAAAGGCAACAGTAACTAAAATAACCACTCGTTACAACCAAGGTATGCAGAGGACCATCTCTGAACGCACAACACGTGGAACCTTGAAGCAGAGGGGCTACAGCAGCAGAAGACCACACAGGTTGCCACTCCTGTCAGCTACGGACAGGAAACTGAGGCTACAATTTGCACAGGCTGAACAAAATTGGACAATAGAAGATTGGAAAAATGTTGCCTGGTCTGATGAGTCTCGATTTCTACTGCGACATTAGGACCACAGGGTCAGAGTTTGGTGGAAACAACATGAAAGTATGGATCCATCCTGGCTTCTATCAACGGTTCAGGCTGGTGGTGGAGGTGTAATGGTGTGGGTGATATCTTCTTGGCATACTTTGGGCCCCTTGGGCATGGTTAAAACGCCACAGCCTACCTAAGTATTTTTGCTGACCATGTCCATCCCTTTATGACCAGTGTAACCATCTTCCAGCAGGATAACGTGCCATGTCACAAAGCTCAAATCATCTCCAACTGGTTTCTTGAACATGACAATGAGTTTACTGTCACTCAAATGGCCTCCACAGTCAGCAGATCTCAATCCAATAGAGCACTTTTGGGATTTGGTGGAACGAGAGATTTGCATCATGGATGTGCAGCCGACCAATCAGCAGCAACTGCGTGATTGCTATCATGTCAATATGGACCAAAATCTCTGAGGAATGTTTCCAGCACCTTGTTGAGTCTATGCCACAAAGAATTAAGGTGAAGCTGAAGGCAAAAGGGGGTCCAACCCGGTACTAGCAAGGTGTACCTAATAAAGTGGCTGGTATACACACAATATTATGTTACCTTTCTTCTTCAAATCAACTGATTTTTTTGGAGAGACCGAGGAATGCTTCTTTGCAGCTTTTGAGGGCATTTTGGACTTTCTTATGAGAGGCTCATCGTCCGAGTCATCATCTGTATTCATATCTGAAACGTATAAATATATCAAAAGATTTAAAGTCATACTTTATAGACAGCTGAAATGTTGTAAGTGACATGATTATGTAACAACCTGCTTTCTTGTCACTTGTGCCATTTGATTTGAGTGACGTGTTGTCTTTTTCCTCCACTTCCTCAGCTGGAGCAGAGACTTTTTTATTTTTTATCAAAGGCTCATCATCTGAGGGGTCATCAGAAGCTAAAACAGGGGAAGACATTAACATACAACGTGTATTACCTTAGCTTTTAACCATCACAAATTGTTGGCAGTCTGTTTTATTGTTTTGAACTCACCACGTGTGTCCTGTTTTGACTTAATGCTCGAGCTGTGTGTGTTTTCATGTGACTGCTTCTCCTCAATGTCTGGCTTGGCCTGGAGCTTTGAGAGAGGAACGTAGTCTTCAGAGCAGGTGTTCCCTGATCAGAGACACAATGGGATGAATAACAATAATAACATTACAAATTTGGTCTATTAAAATGATCATAAAAGTTTAACAAAACATTTCTACCAAATGCATTATCTGATTTAAGAAAGTATTTTCCAGATATTGGAAGTGACTAAACATTTGACTCAGAAATGTATTTAAAGTTTAACACTCTTTAACAGATACTTAGAGACTAAAAATAAGGCATGTCCACAATTGAGCAATACAAATGTGGATTTATTCGACATATAAGTAAAAGTTGTAATAGAACAGTTAAAAATACTTTGGGGACAAGTTCTGAAATCAAAAGTACCATAACATTTTACTGAGGTACAGTGCTTAAACAACTCCCCGCCACAGCTTTTTACCAGTAGTACCACTAGTATAGACCACTATAGTGCATACAAGTTAATCTACTAACACATTGCACACATTTCCTTTTTTTTCTATATTAAAGTTACAGCATAAGGATGATTGTTTGTCGCCTGTAGTTACAGAGTTTATTTCAAGTAATAGTAGCAATACAACAGTTAAAAATAATTGAGAAATAAAAGTAACGTTACTATAACATTTTACCCATCTACAGTAGACCGTTTTAACTACTTTCAACACTGTTAATCCTATCAAACTCTCTTAAATACTATCCTGGTAAATAATTTCATTGTATTAGTCAGTTTGAAACTCTACCATCTTAACTGTTCAAATACACACACGTAAAAGCAGTTGTGGTAGTGTTTTACTTCAATACTGTAAGCTAATTTTAGCTTTTAGCTGCAACGCAGTCCAATACATCGTTTGGATATGAATTAGCGTTAAATAAACAAAACAAACAAATAGTAAGGCTAACAACCTGGAGGGTCTTCAGCCACTTGACTAGGAACGTCCGCCGTGTTGCAGTCCATGGTGTTGCTCAGTACGAGTTAATCAATGCTCTGCATCCGAAACGCGCCAATCTGCTTGAACTGCACTGCAGCTGTTAGCCTCTGAGTTAGCTAAATGTTTGTTGTGATTGTTGTCACCAGCAGTTAAGTGAGCTGGTCCGCGATACTTAAACGACAGTCCCTGTGCCATAGAGTGTCATCAAACACGCTTTAAAATCCAGTTTCTCCAGTCATCATTAATGTCTTATTTTCAGGTTTGGTTTGTTTTCCACCGTGTCGTATTTGTCACTACCCTGCCCTATCTGCAGTGCGCATGTGCGAGTATCCTAGTTGGGTTGCCGTACGGAGTTGTCCAAAATGGCGGACCATCTCGCACATGCGCAGTACAGATCGGGCAGGGGGGCAGATTGGGAAACCAATGTGAGTTTGGAAAATTGCACAATTTTCCAAACTCACATTGGTTTCCCATACAGCATCTCTGTATAGTATGTGTATTCACTCTCTTTCCTAAACGGCTTGTTGTTGGAGCTCCTGCCCCCCCCCCCCCTGTGAGCCCACTGTGCTCTGATTGGTCAGCTCGCCAGCGGCGCCGGATTCATTTCAGAAGTGGGGGGGGTGGGGGCAAAAAGTGTGTGTCAATTTGACACACACTTTTTGACACTGTCAAATGATGGTCAAAGAAATGCTAAATCTACAGGCACTAGCGGAGTGGTAATCACTCCGCCTCTGGCTACAGGCATGGCCATATCCACCATTGAGGTCACCGAGGTCCGGACCTCGGTAATTTTTTCAAGGTGTATATAATAAAAGTTGTGAAATAACTGCACATAATTAACAGGGTTCCTTGTAGTAGTTCCATTTACTGGCAGTGGGGGCGCTGCATAACTACGTAGCCTGTATTAAAGCAAACAGAAGAAGAAGACATTAATTTATGCATTTAGCACTTTTTTTTAACACACTCTGTGAAAATGAGACTTTTCGTGGCTGTCCAGGAGGCTTGGGCACTTTTTCCAGTTATTAACTCCGGAATTTACAAAGCTGTCATCTCCACATTTGGAGAAAGTTACAAGCCGTTTGACAGCAGCAAATCTGCATATTTCACAGAAGGCTCGTTTAGTGGTTTTGCAAAGAATTAGCACTCTCTGTTTTTGTACCATTCTGCATTGAAGTACCTTTCTCTTTGCCCAAACGATCTAGCGGTCTCCTTTTTTTCTACAATTAGCTGTGCAGCTTTACCCTTCTCAGTGTCCCGACAACAAACCTCCACGCAGTCGGAACCAGCTTGTTTCGGTTCAACGATGCCGGCGGTTTTGACAGTCTCAGCGGTCGCAGAGTTGCTGCTTTGCGGTTCATCTGGCTGCGCTGCATGGTTCTAGGGTTGAAGGGCCAGGCTCCGGAGTTGTGGATGTCAGGGATGTGACATTGAAGTTGTTGACTGTATTTTATTTAATTATGCGCTGGTTCTTCTGACATGTTTGCGATATCAAGGCTGACACAGAACAACGTAGCAAAGAAACATATCTTGAATGTCGTGACAATGTCCTCTTTGATTGGATTAAAATGTACATATTCTTCCTGTTATGTGTGCCTGCTTTATTTGACCTAATGCAATATATGAGCCTCTGTTGCTGCCTGTAGCTAATGAGATTGTCTTATCATCTCCTCAATTTGCAAAAATAACAAAATATACACAGCTAGATCAGATAGCGTTCTTTTTAGATGCGACTTTAGAGTAGAGGGGAATTATTGAAACGGGACGTACAGTGTTCCGCGGCATCCGCCGCTGCAAAAATGTGGGGCAAGGCTGTAAAGTGGGGGGGCCCCTTGGCCCCCCTGCTTCCGGCGCCCCTGCAGCTCGCCCACTCTGTTCTGATGAGTCTACCACTATGGTCTACCACCGTTACAGCGGAACATCAGTGATTATGTGTTACAATGGCGTTAGCAACCAGAAAATGACACCAGTAAGGACAAACAGATGAGAATGCTGCGTGGGGTCTGGGTGCCGTGTTGGCGGGACGTTGCGCGGCTCGCTGCTGCGAGGAGCGGACAGTGTGAGCTGGGTTCATTTCCTGCTTGCTGCGTGGGGTCTGCGAGACAGCGAGACATCACGAATGGACGCGGGAAGGGGGGGATGCTGAGGGGGCTGCAGCACCCCCATCTGCGAGGCTCCACTAGCAAAACTAGCAAACTGAGTTACTTTATTTAAAGGTCTCATATTATGCTATTTTTAGGCATATCAGGCATATATCAGATAAATAAAAAAACATGTCTATAATGTGTTTTGCTCAAAATACCAAACAGATCATGCATTTTAGACATCCCTCATATCCCTCTATTTCAGGCCTGCAGGTTCGGGGTCCTTAGCTTGAAAAAAAAAAAAGAGGAGGGGGAGCTAATGCCTGCTCAGAATTCTATGAGATACAGCTAATGCTGCCGTGATTAAATGCCATATTATGTTCCAAACCACATCAACATCATTATTTCTGAAACAGTATGGAGCTCAAATGCTGCTATTCTTGCGGGTTTACCACAAGGTGAGTTCCTTTTTCTTATTTCCTGCTTTTTTACAAATACTCTGTCCAGTACAGGTTAGCTCTGAGTGTTAACGATGCTTGCTAATGTAAACAAAGACCATATTACGTCCAAAACACGTCCTGCATTGTTCCTGATAGCAACGTTTCTGATAGGGCCGTGGATCCACATTTCAGATATTACGTCATATCGGACGCAAATCTGGATCAGCTCCGTTGTTCCCCGTTTTTAAAGATTTGGGTGCGGAGGAAAAGAGAGAGGGTTTTGTTTTCTGACACTTTGTGAGTTCCCTGACACACCGGGGACACAAAAAGACATCAAAAAGTGCATTTTGCATGATAGGTCCCCTTTTAATGCTTAGAAGATTGTGAATTAACTCCAGGGATTGATCCCATTGATCTAATTTCCACCTCCTCGACTCCTCGACTCCTCGGTCCTCCGGTAGTGACCCGGAAATAGATTTCAGCGCGCCATGTTGAAGGACATCTAATTTCTCTAAATGCACATCGAGGATCGAGCATCGAGGAGGCTCTCTGGAGGAGCTATAACCGAGGATACACTGATGTACTGACTTATCTCAACCAATGACAGCTCTGCAAACTGCATCCCCTGGATATTATTTTAACTGCTTTAATCGCGACTCGATGTTAACAGTGAGAACAGCTGCTGAGGGCCGGGCAGAAAGCAGAGCAGTGTGTATAATATATATCACTCAGTAATATATATAACAGGCCTAAATGACAATCTTTATTTGTATGCTTTAGTTTAGTAGATATCTACAAACACAGTCGATATTTTTCTAAAACCATTTAGTGCTTCACATAATAAAATACACAACGGCTGTATCCTGATATTATATGCTTGAGGAGCTGTAGGTGTGTGTGGTACAGTGTGTGGGTGTGTTGTACAGTGTGTAGCTGCATGTGTATGCGTAGATGCGGCAGACAGACGGGTCTCAGTTGGTTTGGTGTCCTCTGCTTACTTTTAATAATTGTAAATACAAATGTTGGCCCGTAATTTCAATTCCCCATTGTAGCGACCAGAGAGAGGGGGGGGGGGGATATATCCAGTCTCTGATAGTGTTACGTTATTATGAGAGTGCTCTCACACTTGTTTGTATCTGAAATTGTATATATATATTTATATGAATATATATTATATATATATATATTAGGGCTGTCAAGTTAACGCGTTAATAACGCGTTAACGCAAAAAAGAATTAACGCCACTAATTATTTTAACGCAATTAACGCATGTGTATTTTTTGTCCTCGGCCGCCGTAGTTTCAGAGCGCATCGAGTTTAAAATACCATCGACAAGCTGATGCTGACAGCCCCGCTCCTACCGCCCGCTTGTGGCAGACCACACTTCCACGCTCACTGGCAGGCCCGGACTGGCCATCGGGAGGACCGGGAGGGAGTGTGTATGTGTGGCGCGACTCGCGCGAGCGAGGCACACCTTACGTGTTGTTGTTGTTAGCATCTGGTGCTAGCTAGCTGCGCTAACGGATATAAGGAGCTGTTTCAATGACATTTCGCCGACAACTGCGCCGAGCACTTGACTTTATGCAGGTAGCCAGACAGTGGGACATTGTACGCAGCACACTCAGCACGGATAGTACGCGCAACATGATTGCAGCATCCAGGCAGCTCCCGTTGGAGCATATATGCCTTGAGCTGCACATAGCTTCAACGATCCATCACAGTGTCCACACACACACACACACACACACACACACACACACACACACACACACACACACACACACACACACAGTATTATTGTATGAGAGAGGTTCCAGGTTGAATTGAAGCGAATATTTGTAATGTTCAGAGGTTGTTGTGTTTAATATTCATGAGAATATTTGTCATTGTTCAAATGATAATAAACAAACATATAAAGCATATTTGTCCACTCATATGTTGATAAGAGTATTACAAACTTGAAAGATATCCCTCTAAGGTACATTTAGAACAGATAAAAAATTTGCGATTAATTTGCGATTAATCGCGATTAACTATGGACAATCATGCGATTAATCGCGATTAAATATTTTAATCGACTGACAGCCCTAATATATATATATGTATATACACAGGAGCCATACTGCTATGGCTACCTGTGAATCAGCAGTTCTCTTCATGGCTCCAACGCTGTCGGCAGGCCCTTTCCCGTGACCAGATTCCAGGAACCTCTAGCAATATATATATAGTCTGTGAGCAAAACACATGGCTATAGGAATAGCTTTGCAAACATAATATGTTGCATAAAACCCCAAAAAGTGTACTTTATTTAAAGGGGACCTATCATGCAAAATGCACTTTTGTACGTCTTTTATACATGAATATGTGTCCCCGGTGTTCCAGGGAACTCACCAAGTGTCAGAAAACACAACCCTCTCTCTTTTCCTCCATACCCAAATCTCTAAAAACGGGGCTGCAACGGATCTGATACAGACTGATCCAGATTTGAACATTTCTCTGACGTCAGGACGGAGGAGCTGACCTATCAGGGGAATGAGAGGTTGCCGTGGCATGGTAACAGCATGGTAACGACGCTCGTAACTCGGCCCCCTCCTTTGCAGGGGGGCGTGGTCAGCTGCAGCGCATGCAAAGACAGGGTGGAAATGAGGCATGGTTAAAATGCATGATCTGTTTGGTATTTTGAAAAAGAAAACATATAAATATACCTTATATAGGTATGGCCCTACAATATATTATTCAAATATAGCATGATAGGTCCACTTTAAGAGATGATGTGTTCCATTCTTAAAGTTACACACTGATGTTCAGGCTTTAGAACACGTTTATTTCAAAATGATGGGAGTTAATTACTTACCATTCCATTTTGTCACTAATGAAATGATCATGTCACCACCAAAACTTTACCATATGTTTCGGTAGTTACTGTTTCGGTAGTTACAATTCTAGATAACTTTGAGCATAACTAAAGAATGCTAGCAAGCACATGGCTAGCATACACGTCTTTGAAGAGGTGTACAGACATGAAAACATATACTTTGCATAAAACCCCAAAAAGTTTACTTATTTGAAGAGCATAATTGTGCGGTAGTGTCAATTCTTAAGGTTACACGCCGATTTTCAGATTTTGGAACAGATTTATTTCAAAAGTATATGGGATTTAGCTACTTACCATCCAACCATGAGGTACAGAAGTGTCACTGCCTGATCAAAAATGCAGGGGTTAATCTTACAACTTCTGTTTAAACTTTATCATAAAGATCTTTGAAATACATCAATTAAAAACATCTAAAAAATGTTTTAAGTGGTATTTACAGAAATTGAAATGTAGATGTCAGGGTTTGGGACAGCTACTTCCCAATAGAAAGTACCCTATAAATGTTGCTTTTGTATATAGTTAGCTTATCACTATCTAATTAAATGTGTTTTTAAATAGACCATAAAATACTCTTAGTATTCAAAGCTATCAATCTGTCAATCCTTTCCGTGTCCGGGCCGGGTGAGGCATAAAATACTCTTAGTATTTACTAAGAGTATTTTAGTATTCATACATAGATATTTATCTATGCATGAATACTTAATTGTTTTGTTAAAGCGTTTTTCTCTTGTTGTAGGACCGCACTTTGAACTAACTCACCATAAAGAAAAAGACAATACAAAAAAATGAATTTTATTCTCTACAAGGTTATTCTGTATTAATGTATTACTACATTTGTATTTGCAAAATCTTAGCTATCCAGCCCTTTATTCTGTTGCATGAAACACCAATACATAGCCTTTCATTTTATTTTATATTTCTCCATAGGGCAGTAACAATCCATTGCTTTTTCTAACGTTTCTCAACATGATTATTTTCAATCCATTTCTAGATGGGTTTCGATAAAATAAAAAGAATACAATTTAGAGATGTTTTGTAATACTTTCAAAATCACAACGAATTGTGTAAAACAGTCAATATATTTATTTTCTTATTATTAATGTAAAGTTATTCTGGAAAATTGACCGTTTCCGCCATGACGTGTTCTCCGTTGCCACAGTAACCATTTGTTTTGTACATTACATTTGAGAGGCAGTTCGGCCGCCGAAACCATAGACGGTATCCACACTGACACTTTTATCCGGGTGTTTTTCAACTGCAAGTAACAAGGTATGGTATTAAATGACTTTCTTTAAAGTATTTTTATAAGGCTAGTGAGAAAAAAACACATTTCTCATGTTCGTTTGACACCAAGATAACAGCTAAAATAGTATAAACCACGTTATTTGGGGCTTGCTAACGTAAACAAAACATGTAACGGTTTAAAATGTTAGCTATCTACAAACAATTGTCTGGGCTACTTTACTAGCCAACATAACGTTTGTCATGGTTTAATGTACAGTATGTTCAATTTCATCAATCATCAACTCTCGAATCAATATGATCCATATTATGCCTTTTACAAAGAAAGATTGCATTTTGATTTTGATGAATTGTATAAATTGAACTTTAAAACTTGGTTTAAACATTTTTTTTTTATTTGATTGATTTAATTGTGAAACCCTTCAAGAAATATTCGTAAAAATACTTTTTTACTGTACTGTATTTCTATGTTTCTGTAGTGACAATTGTGGGAGAGGAAAAACATTCCAACACAGTCTGAAAATACAATGACGGTTATTTTTAACCTTTTTATTATTATTATTTCAAAAATATATCCAACCTGACTTTGAACCAATTCGGTAGAGTGGCCCATATAACAACTATATCGAAGTTCTTAAATAGGCTACAAAGTATACACCAGAGAGGGGAGCTGGACTCTGTGTCTATATTAATGATGCTTGGTGCTCAAACATACTCAAAGTTGATCGACAATGCTTACTTGATGTCTTTTTTTTCTTTTAAAATATTTCTATTCATTTTCAAACAAGAGTTGTTATACAATGTAGAATATACTCTTACAGTGGCAGGTCGTATTTAGGCAAACGTCAAATGTTCTATGGCAAAAGATGGCCATAATATCTGTCCAGAGAATTCATATGTGGCTGTAAAAAAAAATGATCAATTAAAAAATGTGTTATCATTTTGTATCTATCTATCTAATAATTGAAACTTGATCCCTGAACATAAAGAGATTTTGGTTTCTAGTTCCATCTCATATCAACTAACTAAGGTGGGATGCAATACATTTGCACTGGATGTGATTATGTCTTAATGTCCCTTTACTTTAGAAGTGCTTTCCTTAATCTTTCAACATAAGGCAGCCACATTTCCAATAATTTTTTCATATATGTTTTTAGTGACCTACCAGAGGAGCATAATGTCTACCCCGGACCGTAGCATCCAGCAGTGTGTTGGGCCTGATCTTGAGAATATCGAGGTGATGCGGAACCACTCTGTGCTCTTCAGAGCAGAATGCAAGAGGCTCATCCAGGATACTGACAAAGCGTGCAAACGCATGCAAAATGATGACAACAAGCAACTAGGTAAGTAGGAAGACAAATAAACACTGTAGCTCTAACACATAATGTTGTAAAGACCACAGAGCTGAATTGTTTTTCTTACCCCCCCCCCCCCCCCCCCCCCCTGCTGTTCAGATCAGCGGGTCAGAGACATCCAGTTTCTGAAGAAGGAGTTGGAGCTGAAGCTGGAGGAGATTATCCTGGAGATCGATGTCCTCATAGAGTTGCAGAGGAGAGTGGGGAAAGCCCTGGGGGCCTGCAGAGAGCCTCTGAGGGTCACCGTGGTCTGTCTGGAGGAGAGGTGAGCGGTGGTGTGAAGTAAAGTACATCTACTCAAGAACTGTACTTAAGTAACATTTACATTTTGGCTACTTTGTACTTCTACCCCACTACAATTCAGAGGTTAATGGTTTACTTTTACTCCACTACATTTTTTAAATACCTTTAGTTACTTTTCAAATGTTGATTCATGATTTGAATTATATTCAACACTTAAATCAGACTTTAGTTCCACCTGGAGTAAATTCACAAGCTACCCTGCAGTATACAAAGTCATTCAAACTAGCTGCACCTTTACCAGCTTTGATACTTCATATCATATATATTATTCTGAAATGCACCAATCTGCATAATGAGCACTTTTACTTTTGGTACTTTAACTATATTTAGATGCAAATACTTTTGCACTTTTACTTGATTAACATTTACAATTCAGGACTTTTATTTGTAACAGAGTATTCCTACACTCTGGTACTTCTTCTTTACATAAGTATAATATACTTCTCTAACCTCTGGAGGTGAGGCTTGAACCATCAGGAGAAACATGCACAATATGTATTGGGATTGGGAGCTATTGCTAGTTTTCGGTATCATGAAGTTCTAACTTTTACACTACTTTCTCTAACTATGAAGTTTACATGTTAAAAAAACCAATATCAGTAAGGATGAGTAGGTGATAATTGTTTTTTGTTGTTCCCTGGTTTTCAGAATGAAACGTGTTCCTCCTGAGAGGCTCCATGACGAGGTGGACAGAGAGCTGCTGAGGGAGAGGGGGGTGATCGAGGGAGTGGCTTCCCTTCTGCACCGTGTAGCCGAGCAGATCACTGAGCAGATACGGTAGGGAAGAAGAACTTTGTATGATCTATACAGGGGACCTTACCTTTCTAACGTAAATTGTCTATAAAACTGATAAGAAAATCGAATCACAAGATACGTGGCGCGGCAAATGAACACGGAACATGTTGCTTCGTGTTCCAGATTGAATCGATCCATTAAGTACCATCTGGAGCAGGATCTGAAGGAGAAGTTTGCAGCTCAGTGCATCGACAACTCGTGTGCCTTAATGACCACTCACTCCACCAACAACCAGCAGAGGCCCAAAAACACCCAAACTCTTCTGCAGAGGTAAACCATAAAGCCAGGAAAACAATATAACATATGTGTAAAGGCAGTTTCTAAGCTATTTTGAAATTCATGATTTCAATTAATTACATTACAGCACAGAAAAAAAGACATTTTGTTAGCTCCAGGTCTGTATAAGTTGTTTTAAACTCCCTCCTCTCTCAGCTTCACAGTGACTCCAGAGCAGTGGGAGAACATCTCGGACATCAACATCGCCAAAGCAGAGCAGCAGCAGGTCAACTCTCTGTCCCTGAGGGCCATGGTGGAGTCTCTCCTGGAGCAGACGCTGGCCGACATGCAGAAGCAGTTCCAGGCCACCACAGAAACATTTCAGCTCAACGTCCAGGAGATCAAGTCTGCAAAGGGACTGATGGAGGATCAGCTGGCTAAGGTAATACAGATGAATGTGAGGTGTGTATTCGGCAGAAAGAGGGAATGAGGTGAAAGGAAGTGGGAGGCAACTGTTGTAAAAGAGAAGAACTGGCTTGATTTATCATGTCAGTATTGATTTTTATTAAAGGGACAGTCCCATCAAAAGCATATTTTTTCTTTTACCTGAAATGCTATTTATCAATCTAGATTGTTTTGGGTTGAGTTGCCGATTGTAGAGATAAGCCCATAGTGATGTCTTTACAAATAACCAAGAAAAAATAATACCCAGTCAAATAGTCCACTGACTTTGTTGTGAGTTGCACGCTCCCTTGGGGGAAGTGATATGGAGGCCAAGTGTGGTTTGGTCAAAAGAAAGTAGTTGCTTTTGAGTTTTTTTTTAATGTATTTTTTTGGAGCTTTTGACCACCATATGCCATTATAGAGAAGGCAGACATCTCTACAGCACATATCTCCAACGCTTGCAATTCACACCAAAAGAATGTAGATTGATAAATAGCACTTGAAGTAAGATTAAACATATAACTTTTTTATTTTGAGGATGACGGCCCATTAAACATGGCCACCATCATCACTTGCCCAGATGATCCTTTCATTAAGAATAGACAGAACAAAAAGAAAGAAGCTTAATATCAGATTAGCGATTTCCTCTTATTTCACCATTAAATGAAAACACAGGTTAACCGGGTGTCTCTCCTCTCTCCTCTCTAGATTCTGTCTGAGTTTGCCAGCGAGCAGAGGACCAGAGAGGACCTGCAGGTGGCCGTCTCAGACAGCGAGCACGTCCTGAGTTTGGCTCAGGCCCGGCTGGTATTGCGCCGCCAGAGGCCGGGCAAAGAGCAGTGCCACGACCCGGCCCAGACCCAGCTGCTGGCCGAGGTGCAGCAGCTCAATGCTCACATCAACAGGTGAGGGCAGGGCTGCAGAATAGATTTGGCTAAATTGTATTTGAGTGAGCACATCAACAGTGTGTGTAAATGTGTAATCTGTAAACATAAAACATTTTCCACAAATATAAAAAAAATGTATAAACTCGCCAAACTAATAAATATAAAACCAATATGCAAATATAAAAACGAATTACACAAAAGGAAAACTTATCTGTGAACTGTTATCTTTTTATTGTGAATCAAATGGCATTTGTGGATGTCTATTCTCCGCTATTGTTCAAGTTTTGGACAGGTTTTTTTTGCCAGGCTTTAACAAAAACAAATCTTAAAATAAATAAAACAAAGTGGAAATAATCAAACATTATGATGATGCAAATGGAAGTGAAAGAAAACATGTATTTTTTTTTCTTATATTTTTTACCTAGCCTACCATGTTGTCAATGTCTGATTTAGATGGATTACGTATAGATCCATGCCATTTCTGATTCCAAAAAATAAATATGGTAACTTCTTCCAGTATTGGCTGATGTAGGCTATTGTTCAGAGATGTTTTCAGTCGTCTCCAGCGAGTCATTGTGTGTCTCTCTCTCTGCGCTCTCAGACTGCACGAGGCGGCGTCCCGCTCTGAGGAGCAGCAGAGGGCTCTGGTGCGCTGCCAGCTGGAGCTGCAGGAGAACATCGAGAGGAAGGGCAGCTCGCTGTACATCGACGAGGTCGTCTGCGCCCAACACAGGGAGCCCATCATCATACATAACTTCTGAACCACTGGAAATTATTGAAATAAAGGTCACTTCAAATAATATGTGTCTATTTGCAGACATGCAGCGTGGAATACATTGTTTCAATGACTTGATAACTTAACCATGACTTAATTATTTGTTAAAGGTTTTTTGTCATTTCCACCCACTAAAAATGTATCAGGCAAGAAGCCCTTTTCAGCGTTCAGAATCTTAATAAATACAACTCCTAGAGAGCCTTGACATTTGGTAGAAACACAGATAAAATCTTAACCACAAAATACAAAATGGTAAAAAGGCACATGCAGATGTCATATTTGTATTACTGGCCCTTGAAATAAGAAAAAGTGCATAATTGGTGCTTTTGGGGCCACAGGCAGTCCTCCTAAGTTTACACATATGGACATTTTCATACATCCCCATAGCATTACAGCAATTGATTGATGTTGTACCAAATTTCAGGGGCATAAACATAATCTGACTTGTTGCAACTTGACATGCCAACGTTGTAATTTGTTGCCTTTTTGAGCAGTCAAAATGGTGATGTGGAATCATTCCTGCAACCCTGAAAATGTGTGTGAAAAAAGGGTCTATAAGTGCGCATTCTGTGTGTAAAGTTACAAGTTCCTTACATGTTGTCTTCACGTTTACATTTAACAATCATTTCTTAAATTACATTTAAGAAATGCTGACTATAACCCACAGAACACCATCCCCACCGTCAAGCATGGAGGTTGAAACATTATGCTTTGGAAGTGTTTCTCTGCTAAGGGGACAGGACGACTTCACTGCATCGAGGACTGGAGAGGATGTGCGGGGCCGTGTACCGTAAAATCTTGGCCGATAGCCTCCTTGCCTCAGCCAGGACACTGAAAATGGGTCATGGATGGGTCTTCCAGCAGAACAATACATCTAAACATAAGGCCAAGGCAACACAGAAGTGGCTATAGAATAAGCACATTTGGGTGATGGAGTGGTTTAGCCAGTCTCTGGACCTTATTCCCATAGAACATCTGTGGAGGGAGCTGAAGCTTCGAGATGCGAAGCATGAGCCTCAAAACCTTCAGGATTTGGAGAGGATCTTCAGAGGAGTGGACCACAATCCTTCCTGAGATCTGCACAAACCTGGTGACCAACCACAAGAAGCGTCTGACCTCTGTGTGTCCAACAAGGGTATCGACTACACCAAGTTCTAAGACATGTTTTGTAAGGGGATCAAATACTTATTTCCAGAGGTGGGGACTCGAGTCACATGACTTGACTCGAGTCAGACTCGAGTCGCATATTTTTTGACTTGAGACTTGCTTGACTAACATTGATAAAAGACTTGACTTGACTTTGACTTGGTATTCATGACTTGAGACTTGACTTAAGCTTGAGACAGATGACTTGAAAGGACTTGACTGTTTAAAATTAAATATTTGCGTTTGTTTTTGTAGTGAGATATTACGTTTAGTTTTTTCGAAAAACGTGATTGGGTGATCATAGCGCCGTGCGCGCAAACCTGGCAACCCACTAGACGGCAGGACTGTCAGTTAACATGGCAGCGGCTAGCGTTACTCCAAAAATAGTGAAGTTTGGATTCAAGGATTATGTTGTCGATGACGCTAATAAGAAGAGAACAGCGGTATGCAGGGTCTGCAGCATAAAGATCAGTGACACGACCACCACAACATCCAACTTCATTCGTCACTACAAAAAACCCACAGAGAAAGGTGCGTGAATGTGTTGTGTTAGCTAGAAAGCTAACGTTAAGTTTAAGCTACGTTAGACTTGGTTTCAAATCGATTAAGCATTGCAAAGAGAAGACAAAACGGTAAATGAACACTAGAACCGCCAAGGGATTCATTTGTACTAACCCTGATACTGACGGGCTGTCAGGAGAGAGAGAGAGAGGAAAAGAGATGCCTCGTTTATTTCCCCTGTGTTATTCTCAGAAGTTACTGTAAACTGTTGAATAATGTAGTTCATCTACTTTTAGTAGTTTGTTTAAATGTTTTAATTATGTTGTTTTTGTTTGTAGAAGTGCATCATTCCTTGATTTATTGTAAAATGAATCTGAACTTTTTGATCTGTTATGATGATAAACTGAAGCCATTTCAAAATTAACTGAGTTTTAAATCGTCCTACTTAGTTTATAAGGAAATTATGAAGAGGAACAAATTAAATTATTTGAAAGTGATATCTATGTAGGTGCTGACGCTGTTGGCGGTTCTAGTGTCAACAGACATTTAAATTAAATATGTGTAATGGCAAATGCCATATATGACTTTCTTACCTGGAATTCTGCCTTTTTGAACAGACTTTTTGATTGAGTCCTAGCTATATTGTCTGCAGTTCTAGGGTTAATATGAATCTAATATGATTGTCATCGGTCTAAATTAGATTTCAAATGATTAACTGTGTATGTAATGAAGATCATAGTGTGGGTTGAATCCATTTTCATAACCACTGTCTTTTAACGGATTTAAATGCGGAAACTGGGCTTATTCATCAGAATTTCGTATGACTTGACTTGACTTGCTTGACCTGAGCAATGACTTGACTTGACTTGCTTGACTCTCACCACAGTGACTTGGGACTTGCTTGATACTTGTAGGTCAAGACTTGAGACTTGCTCATGACTTGCACATGTAGGACTTACTCCCACCTCTGCTTATTTCCCACTGTTAAATGCAAATCAATTTTTATCTTTTATATAATGTCAATTTCTGGATTTTCTTTTTGATATTCTTACTCTCACTGTTTATATAAACCACCATTACAATTACAGACTCTACATTTCTTTGTAAGTGGGTAAACTTACAAAATCGGCAGGGGATCAAATACTTATTTCCTCCACTGTATAGATGGTTGTATTTGTACATCAAAGTAATTAGCCAGGACATGATTATTTGTTAAAAGTAAATACAGTTCAACAGGGCAATCAGTGTCAAATCTCATTTTATAAAAGTTGGACAATCTTTTGTTAAAGATTATAAGATATAATAAAAAAAAAAGCTGCTGTTTGTTTTGACTAACTCAGTTAGGTGTTGATGTTATTAGATGACATATTTTTGAAGGATATTTTACTGTAAGATATACTAATAAAATGTGGGTCTACCTGTTCGTTACATTGCCAGTGTTTTATGTTACTGCCTCATGAATCAGCATGGACCAAATGTTTTCCTCCCTGTTAAACAAAAACACTTACCATGTCCATTTAGTTTTGTTGCAATGTTTAATTCCAGCTTTTCAACTTCAAAAGTGAGCTTTGTTAATTATACGGCTGTCCATGATTAAATAAACAGACATAATAACATCACCTAAACAGTATATCAAATATGTTCATCAGTGCCCTGTCCTACGAATCCAGTTCAACATATCCTGGATATTTTTTGATTATCTGGCTTAACTAACCCTAACAAACGCAATCTCGCTAAGTGGTCCAACGACGCTGATTATCAACTCGGTAAATCAACCCAGGGGGTCCTTCTCAGGTCGATTTAGGCCCCGGCTCCACGGGAACGCATACGGCAAAACGCATCGGAGTAACGCAAACGCAAACGCAAAAAAGCTTCCGCCCACACGCAATATACACCGGATTGTGTCAAGCTCCACGAGACGGCTCCGTTTACATCATAGACTGTATATATAAATGGACGTAGGGTCCGTGACGTCACCCATAGGATTCTGCAGAGTTGCCGAGAAGCCCTTAGTAGGCGGAGTCGGCCACTAACGGCTCGACAGTGGCGTCAGAGTTCCACTCCCGCCTGCTCCAGCCTGCTCCAAATAAGGGCAAAGAGGCGGAGCCGAGGCGGGACCTGCTGCCTCCGGGCTGGAAGTTCCAGAGCTAGCTCAAGCTACCAAGCTAAGCTAACATGCTCACTATCTGCACACTGCCGTCGCATTTTACGTTTCTAAGGTAAGCGGACATGAGACTATTCAGCAAAACTAGTTTTTAGCATAATACTTCAGAATCTTAAAATCCCTTAACGTTTGTATGCAATTGTGCTAAATTAAACACTGGAATCAAGCAAATATTAATATGTTTGCATGACATTAGTTATTTATATTTTGCCATCACTTAATTATACGTTTAATACATTTAAGTTAAGCTAAGGTACATGTGATGATAGCTAGTTAGTGCTCTTACCTGTGAGGCCTCCTCCAAACAGCATTATAACCAGACTGTATCATTAAAACTACAAGTACCAGTTCTAGGTCCTTGACTTTAGACAAACAATTCAAAAGACAAAATGTATTTAAAGACCAATCTTTATTTGAAGGTGCCTCTTAACCTGAGATATTAGTTATACAGTAATAGTATTGACAATCTAAAAAAACTGAGCAACTCAACAGTCAACTTTATATTTCTTATAGTCTAAAGCATTTATTATTTTCATTTTTCCCCTCTCATATTCAGTGTGGATGGATTGAGACAGCGTGGTGTCCAGAGAGCTGCAGAGACTTCAGAGAGAAACCTCCGTGTGATGGACGTCCTGTCTGTTGGTTTGGAGAGGACTGAGGGTCTTTCCTCTGTGAGGAGGACCAGGCCTGATGGAGGAGCCCATGCATAGCTGATACCACCTGATCAGGCCTAGTCTGTCACTTTATTTGACTAAATGTGTTTACTTATACATTTAATAGGTTTACATCTTCTGTCCATATGTGCTTTTTATTTAAAACATGTTTGATTAACTTTTGGTTCACATTTCAATAAATTGAATTTGTATTTGCACTCCTTTTGTCCATTATTCTTACTGAAAATGTTAGATTACACATTCACATCTGACTGAAGATTGGCCCCATTTATTTGCGTTGCAAACTCTGCGGTACAAGGTACATGTTGTGAAGCTCATGAAGTGAGGCAAATAGAAATAATCAGCTGATGGAGTGTAGATGTGGAAATAGGTGCATTCGATCAGCTGACTGTGTTTTCACAATAAAAATAGTTTCTTAGTGAATGTCCTGTACTGCTCTTAACATCTCATAACATCAGCTTTTAATTTTCCTCTTGGATGTTCTTCTTGACCCTCAGAGAAAGAGGAGATGCTGAGTCGTGTCTTTCAGGCATGTCCTTT